TATTCGGTAATAACATCAACAGTTTAAATCATAAGTCCCAAGCACGAGAATCTGACGGTACACAAATTCAGTAGCGTGTATGGCCACCATGTGCGTTGACAACTGCCACACAACGCCTCCACATGGACCTTTTGATGCTTGTGAACACATGATTGGGAAGACGACGCCATTGTTGCTGCAACACGGTGCCAAGATCTTGCGAATTCTTTGGTTGGTTCTGGAAAGTGCGCAGACTTCTGCCAAGAGCTTCTCAGACGTGTCTCAGACGTGTTCGATGGGATTGAGGTCGGGAGACCTTGACGGCCAGTCCATGACGTTGACTCACGCATTCTGAAGGAAATTCCTTGTCAAAATTGCTGTATGGGGTCTGGCATTGTCGTGTTGGAAGATCAAACCGGGTCCATATGCTGCCATAAAAGGCGTTGAGGTTGCAACGGATGACAAGAAGCCTGGAACGTGCATTGCACAAGAAAGCACCCCACACCATTACACTTCCGCCTCGAAATCTGTCAACTTCCTGTACACAACACTGGGCGTAACGTTCGTGACGGCGCCTCCACACCCTCGCCCTACCATCAGCAAATTGGATTAAATCGGGATTCATCACTGAAGACGACTTGATTCCAATTCCTCTGAGTCCATCGTAAGTGTCGCTGTGCCCACAATTGACGTTGACGTCTGTGTAATTGAGTCAGAATAGGCCCACAGTATGGCCGTCGTGCTTGAAGGTGAGCAGTTCTCAGACGGTTTCAAACAGTTTGCGCACACAGTCTACCCCTAAACAGTTCATTTCTGGTTGATGTAGCCGTCAAAAATCGGTTACGGAGGTGACGTAAGACAATCTGACGATCGATCCTCTGCATGTGACGTCACACGTGGTCGACCTGGCCGAGGGCGATAAGCGGTGGTACCCGTTTGCTGTAGACGCGTCTGTAAATCATAAACAGTCCGTCGACTACAACCCATCGTCCTTGCGATTTCAGCTACGGACGTTCCCGTCTGCAATATGCCGATGGCACGTTCACGTTGCACATTTGAGAGGCGTGGCTTGTGTTTTTTCTGTTTTTGTTAATGACTGCTAACAAGTATGGCTGAAAACACGTGCAGTATTATGGCCACGTGACCAGTTGCACGTGAAAAAACACTTTTGCCACTATAGTGCTGTGCACATGATTTTGATCGATTCACCTGCACAAAAACGGGTGTTATCTGAATACGCGGCCATTACTGTTTAAATACACAATAAGGGCCCACAATGATAACTGGTCAAAATGTTAAAATTTTAGGATTGTGAAGTTTTTAATTTGGTTCAGTTTATAATATAAAATTGAAATATTGGTCAGGCGGCGTTAAATCCAACTCACAAGTTTTTACAGCTGAAGGGTCAGGACGTTTTACTGTAGTTTCGTAACGGTGTTGTCAAGCACATGGCGTGTTATCAAGCTCTGTTAACCATAGGTCATTTGGATCGGGGAAAGGGTAAACATTATATATGAATCAAACTCAGCAAACTAGAACAGTAACCTTGACATGGAGACCTCCTTTGATTCAAGGGAGTCTTGCAGGTCCCGAGTACTCCAGGCTTGTCGTGATAGCGGAGTGGAGAGGATCGGGGATCGTTGCCAGATGACCTTCATCGAACCATTGTTAGCAACACCTGTTTCTTTCTTCAGTGCTACTTTTATCTTGTCACTTGTTTTCTATCTTCCAAAAACAATGATAATGTGAAATGGGGTTTAACGTCGCGTCCAAGATTATTGCACTTATATAGCGACGTGTATGTGTGTGTGTGTGTGTGGCTGTTTTTACTAGTCCGGACTGATGCCGATTTATAGTGCTAGCTCACTGAGATACAATGCTGCAGTTTAACATGAATACCCCACTCAGACACAGTATCCTGACTCCGAGCCGACCAGTCCTTGTTTTAGCCCCTTAATGCTGAGCGCCAGACAGGGTAACAACAAGTACCACCTTTTAACGTCTTTTGGTATGACGCGGGCGGGGATCGAACCCCGGACCTTCCACTCTCCGGGCGGACGCTCTACCATTAGACCACGGAGGCGGTCCAAAAACAACCATAATGTAGTAGTAGTAGTAGTAGTAGTAGTAGTAGTAGTAGTCGTAGTAGAAAGTGTTTCGTTTGTGAGAATATTCCGGAAACCCCTGTTCATAAAATGGACTTGTCCGACAATGACGCAATCAGACCGTATTCAGGGAGTCATCATTATTTAAATACAGGTAAATAATTTCATGCTTGTAAATTTCCTTAAGAAGGCTGTAAATAATGTTGATATCTCATATATGAAAAAAACACTCGTGGCCGCTGTTTATCGTACAATAAACCACGGCAGGGGGAATAAACCTGCACTTTACGTCGTTTATTCTCCTTGTCGTATTTTATTGCACGACAAACAACTCCCCCTCGTCGTTTACTTCTTTGGTACTTGGCAGGAGTTCTGCTGTGCAGTGTCAGACAAGAAACACATACTTTAATGCAAAATCAGACAGTGTGCTATCGTGTGACCTGATTTCTGTCCATCCCTTGATTGTCTGGTGCATAGAGGCCGCCGTCACTTGGAAGAAGTACTGTGTGGTATCAGACGACAAACACATACCGTCTTCAACGTAATAAGCGCCCAGGGCGCTCTCAAAATTTGAAATAGGGGCCTCTTATTAGAATAAAATTTTGGTGAAAAAAAAACAGAGTTGAAAGATCGTAAATTTCGTGGTTTATGCCTACAGCCTGAAATGATACAAAGCCTGTGCTTTCACACGACAGATATATTTTTTTCCAGAATTTAATTGCCCATAATTAAGGGTGCATATAACACACGAGTGCGTATAATACACGAATAAATAAGTCTTGTGTACATTGTTCAATCGGAAGGGAGGCTCATTGGGCTTGTTCACTAGCCAATATATTATCAAATCTCGCCGTGGGCGCTTATAAGGGCGGGGCGCTTATTACGTCGAATACGGTACTTTTTCTGCAGACTGTGTGAGTTGCGGTTGCAACCGTTGGACATACTTATCCCTTCCGCGTACACCTGGAATCATTACTGATTTCCTGTACGCCATGATTCAAGGAAATAAGATGATTCCAAAATGACATTAAACAACAATTCCATGTATGGCAACAATATATCGGAGGAGGATTTACAAAATTCTGAGATAAGGTTATCTTCCCCTTGAGATTTTTTTTTTTAGCTTATAGATTGCTTCTTGTATCTCTTCTTGAGTGATGGAGAGTCCAGTTCACAGGCGGCCGTATCATCAGCATTATAGTCAGTATCAGAGTTTACAGTCTGTTCTGGCAAATTAGCCTCACATTCTTCAAATAAGTTCTTGAAATACGAAAACCATTCTGATATATTTACATCGTCCTTTTTTGACGACTTGGTTGTATATTTCTTTAGCACAGTGCAAAACTCTTTTGAGTTATTTATATTACCTAGTAAAATGTCTCTGACAGATGCATTATATTGTCTCTTTTTGCTCCTTATTGGGTCATTATATTTATTGCGTTGAGTAATATATAAATGTAGTGATTCACTGTTCGTCGATCCTCTAAAACATTTCAGTAGTCTCAGCGTTTCTGATCGATTGAAATCACATTCTGAGTCAAACCATGGTTGATCTGATTTTACAGGATAAGTTTTCTTCTTTTTCTTCATGAAGTCCGCAGCCTGGTGAATAGCATCAGTAAAAACTTCAACAGCTTGGTCGATATCGGTCAAGGCAGGAGTGCAACAGTCATTAAGCATAGATGATATATCGGATGACAAAATATTGTCTCTATATCTTTCAGCAAAATTATTATCCCATAAAAATTTGAAACCTGCTGACGAACTGGTGTGGATTTCATAGTCACGTGATTGAAATGTACAACTGACTGGCATATGCGGTGACACGGTCCGAGATCCGATATTAAATCTGAGCACATTGCAAACAAATCACTTGAGACAATGACATAATCTATTACACTCGCTCCTGTTGACGCAAGAAATGTACAGTAACCAACGGACGCATCTGAACCAGCTCGACCATTTACAATATTCATATTTATAACAGAGCACAGATTAAGTAGTAGTTTCCCATACTTATTACAAGATTTATCAGTTGAAAAACGTTTCATCTCCAGACTGTCACATAAAAAAATCACAATTTTCCATTTGTAAAGTTATCATTATAACGTCTTCAACGAAATCCTTATCCGCACCGGTACGATCATTGTATACTCTGTAATGTATAATGGGCCTGGGCCTACAATACATAATTAATAAAGACTATATACTGATTTCCAGTGGTCCGTTTACATATTTTCACGACTATTTTGCCATTTTCGCCCATTGGAATCTGTTTCGACGGTCAATGCAGAAAGGCTAGTGTCTCGGGTTGACGTTACAAATTTGCTCGTTCTAATATGGGTCGGTAACCTGGTGGTCTAAGTGTTCAAAGAACCAAAATATCCCAATTGAATGACACCCAGTGCTAACGGAATGGTTGAGCTCGTGTCACTCTAATGTAAGTCTCTAAGACCATCTGCCTTTAATAACTCAGTCGGGTTTTTTTAATTTCGGATTTTTTAACTTAGACTAGCCTGAAGGAACATGTTTACTTTCAGTAAAAACAATTGCCCAAAAGTTGCAAATAGTTTCATCACCAGCTCAAGCGTTAGTTACGTTGACGGATTAAATGCAACAAATCTTAACATCTCAGTACTGATTTCACCCGAGAAGATCCGGGGTACATTGGTCTTCAGCAACCCATGCTTGCCGTAAGAGGCGACTAACGGGATCGGGTAGTCAGGCTTGGCGATTTGGTTGATGCATATCATAATATCCCAATGGCGTAGATAGATGCTCATGATGTCAATCACTGGATTCTCTGGCTCAGAATCGATTATTTACAAACCGCCGTATGCTGGCATTTTGTTGAGTGCGGCTTTAACAAACAAGCAACAATATTGATTCAAATTGTGAAACACACATCCCGCTGGCGTACTGCTCCGCCGTTCAAGGAAGGATGTTTGAAGCATATATCATCTAGTACATGTTCTCACTAGCGGGTCATGGTACCTCATGCTTCTTGTATAAGTGGATAACTGATGATTGATGGCAAAAATGGCTACGTGACCACAGACAAGACCAAACTACCCTATGGCATAGCACCTGGTAGCAGAGATCTGGAATTTGGATTAAATACCGGCATTTATGAAGGCATCTGTGATGCATCTAAACTTCTACGTGAACGTCCATCAAATGTGAACAATCCCATAACGTGACTCATTTTATCGCGGAGACCACGCTACATGTCCAGTCTTCAAGGGTAAAGGGTCGGTGTGACATTGCAGGTTCCCCGGTAGACTAGGTCACACTTCAACTACGAGATCCGCTGGTTTGCGTCGCTTGGCGCGATCGATGAAAACAGGACCACGACACAGGCAGATATGGCTCTTGTGAGGCGCATTGCAGGACCCCTCCTGGAAAGCCGGGGTATATACAGCAGTATATCACGGACATATTACTTATATTCCCCGGAACCATTCCATGCCTATCCAGACCGTCAGCCAAAATGGATGAATGCGGAGGAGGCAGTGTCAGTCATCAAGTCAGGTATTACATAGTCTGTTTATACTGAAGGGCATGTGTAAGCTTGGAAAATACTGGCATGGTGTCATGTGCAATACTGTCATATTGATATTGGTATGATTTCTCTCCGATGATGATGATTTCAGTTAGAAGTGACATGTAAATCGGTTACCGAAACGTGCTTGCATTTATGTAAATAACACTTTCAATGTTATTTTAAAAAGAAAAGGTCATTAATTATTTGCTATTTCATGATGATGATGATGGTGGTGGTGGTGGTGATATCGATGATGATATCGTCAATGATTATGGCGTGTTTTTTGGTGAATGTACGGAAAAAAATGAAAAACGCTTGAATTTAAATGACAATAAGGAATGGAGTCTGGATGGGGGTGGAAATACTAGGACATTAATATTGTGCAATACAATGATATTGATATCTATGTTTTGTTCATAAATGTTGTTTTGAATGATGATGATCATGATGATATCGATGATGATATCATCAATGATGTTGGCATGTGTTTTGTGAATGTATGCAAAAAAAATCAAAAACGCTTGAATTCAAAAGACAAAAAGGAAATACAATAGTCAACAAGTCAGGTATTATCATAGTCTGTTTATACTGAAGGGCATGTGTAAGCTTGGAAAATACTGGCATGGTGTCATGTGCAATACAGTCATATTGATTTTGGTATGATTTCTCTCTGATGATGATGATTTCAGTTAGAATTCGAAGTGACATGTAAATCGGTTACCGAAATGTGCATGCATTTATGTAAATAACACTTTCAATTTTATTTTAAAAAGAAAATGTCATTAATTATTTGCTATTTCATGATGATGATGATGGTGGTGGTGGTGGTGATATCGATGATGATATCGTCAATGATTATGGCGTGTTTTTTGGTGAATGTATGAAAAAAAATGAAAAACGCTTGAATTTAATTGACAATAAGGAAGGGAGTTTGGATGGGGTTGATAAACTAAGGCATAAATATTGATACAGATTTTTTGTATATAAATGTTGTTTTGGAATGATGACGATGATGATGATTATGCTGATGATCATGATGATGATATCGTCAATGATATTGGCGTGTTTTTTGGTGAATGTATGGAAAAAAATGAAAAAGGCGTGAATTTAAATGACAATAAGGAATGGAGTCTGGATGGGGGGTGGAAATACTAGAACATTAATATTGTGCAATACAATGCTATTGATACCGATGTTTTGTTCATAAATGTTGTTTTGAATGATGATGATTATGCTGCTGATGATTGTGATGATGATAATGATGATATCGATTATGCTATCATCAATGATGTTGGCATGTGTTTTGTGAATGTATGGAAAAAATGAAAAACGCTTGAATTCAAAAGACAAAAAGGAAATACAATAGTGTGTGTGTGTGTGTGTTTGCTTGTCGAGATAAACTACCAAGGCCGGTATAATTAATTACTGCACTTGTCAGGGCCGATTTGTAGGGGTGCCTCGGTGTGATGTAACTGTATCTTTATATCAAGGGCGGGGCATGGTTACGCTTTTCGCAAACACCTAGTGTCATCACTGATTTTCAGTTATCCATTCACATAATTTTCACCTCTAATTTGCCTTTTACACCCAGTGGAATCTGTTACGGCAGATAATCGAGTCTGATTATACTCTGACGTTAACGTTTTATTTTATAATAGAGGGCGTGTCCACATTGCTCCGGCTGGCGGTCAACATAAACTCATTCTTACCCTCAATGTTATATATCTGATTACTACGGAATTTTTTTATTTTTATATCGTAATTTCCTAATCAGGGAGAAGGGTATACATGACACTTTTTTATTGATAACAACTTCTTTATTCTTTGTAACGACGTTTCGGGGTAACTTCTTTCCCCTTCATCAGGTGAATTGGCTGGTAAAGGGTCAAGAAGTAGCTTCATATTTTTGATGTTCTTCTAGAGGACACGGGTTGTCTAACGCGCCGCGATTCGCTGTGCAGAGTTACGTCCCTTGGGCACGCCAGAAACCTATGATTGTGGGTTCGAATCTCGGTTCGCCCCGATTATGTTTCTAGGTTTGTCAGCACCATACCCGTGCTCGTGGGTTTCACTAGAGTGGTAAACATCTGAGACCTGCATCACTTCGGGCTTTCCTCCCACATTAAGCTGACACGCCGCGATATAACTGTAATGCTGTTAAAAGCAGCGTTAAACCCAACTCACTCACTCACTCCAACTTCTAAATGCCTATCAAAGACCCACCATTGAGGACTGCCATTGGTCGGTAATTAAGTGATTATTAACTCGATTGTGTGAGACTATGCAGGCAAAGGGAATATATTATTAGTTTCCAAATATTTGCTTTATTTAACTTAAACGTATGCGGTGGATTTTCATCTCAAATCAAAAATATCTTACACCAGCATCTAATACGCTCACCTCGGTACAAGTACGTTAACCCTGTCACTGCCAGGTATATATCATTTTCATATTTGACAATAAACTTAAGGCATTTATTTCTTTCGAAGCCTTGATTCTTGCACCCCGTATGCATCTATTTACACTAGGGGCGTTCGGGTAGCCTAGTGGTTAAAGCGTTCGCTCGTCATGCTGAAGTCCCGGGTTCGATTCCCGACATGGGTACAATGTGTGAAGCCCATTTCTGGTGTCCCCCGCCGTGATATTGCTTGAATACTGCTAAAAGAGGCGTAAAACAATACCCACTCACTCAATCACTATTTTCACTAATCCATTGTTATTAAGAACTATTCATTTATTATACGGTGTGTGGGTCAGAGGGAATCAGGGGAGGGACACCCAGACCCATATCTACACCCACACCCACATCCACATCCACACCAACACCAACACCCACATCTACATCTACACCACCACCCACACCCACACCCACACCCACACCCACACCCACACCACCACGTACATCTACACCCACACACACATCTACACCACCACCTACACCCACACCCACATCTACACCACCACCTACACCAACACCCACACCCACATCTATACCACCACCTACACCACACCCACACCCACATCTACATCACCACCTACAACCACACCAACACCCACACCCACATCTACACCCACACCCACACCCACATCTACACCACCACCCACACCCACACCCACACCCACACCCACACCACCACGTACACCCACTTCCACACCAACACCCACATCTACACCACCACGTACACCCACTTCCACACCAACACCCACATCTACACCACCACCTACACCCACACTTACACCCACACACACATCTACACCACCACCTACACCCACACACACACCCACATCTACACCACCATCTACACCCACACCCACACACACATCTACACCACAGCCTACACCCACACCCACACACACATCTACACCACCATCTACACCCACACCCACACACACATCTACACCACCACCTACACCCACATCTACACCACCACCTACACCAACACCCACACCCACATCTATACCACCACCTACACCACACCCACACCCACATCTACATCACCACCTACAACCACACCAACACCCACACCCACATCTACACCAGCACCCACACCCACACCCACATCCACACCACCACCCACACACACAACCACACACACATCTACACCACCACCTACACCCACACCCACACCCACACCCACACCCATATCTACACCACCACCTACACCCACACCCACATCTACACCCACATCCAGACCCACACCCACATCTACACCACCACCCACACCCACACCCACATCCACATCTACACCCACACTCACATCTACACCCACACCCACACCCTCATCTACACCCACACCCACACCCACACCCACACCCACACCCACATCTACACCCACACCCACATCTACACCACCACCTACATCCACACCCACACCAACATCTACACCACCACCCACACCCACACCCACACCAACACCCACATCTACACCACCACCCACACCCACACCCACACCCACACCCACACCCACACCAACACCAACACCCACATCTACACCACCACGTACACCCACTTCCACACCAACAACCACATCTACACCACCACGTACTCCCACTTCCACACCAACACCCACATCTACACCACCACGTACACCCACTTCCACACTAACACCCACATCTACACCACCACGTACACCCACACTCACACCCACACACACATCTACACCACCACCTACACCCACACACACACCCACATCTACACCACCATCTACACCCACACCCACACACACATCTACACCACCACCTACACCCACACCCACATCTACACCACCACCTACACCAACACCCACAACCAAATCTATACCACCACCTACACCACACCCACACCCACATCTACATCACCACCTACAACCGCACCAACACCCACACCCACATCTACACCCACACCCACACCCACATCTACACCACCACCCACACACACAACCACACACACATCTACACCACCACCTACACCAACACCCACACCCACACCCACAGCCATATCTACACCACCACCTTCACCCACACCCACATCTACACCCACAACCAGACCCACACCCACATCTACACCACCACCCACACCCACACCCACACCCACACCAACACCAACACCCACATCTACACCACCACGTACACCCACTTCCACACCAACACCCACATCTACACCACCACGTACACCCACTTCCACACCAACACCCACATCTACACCACCACTTTCACCCACACTCACACCCACACACACATCTACACCACCACCTACACCCACACACACACCCACATCTACACCACCACCTACACCCACACCCACACCCACATCTACACCACCACTTACACCAACACCAACACCCATATCTATACCACCACCTACACCACACCCACACCCACATCTACATCACCACCTACAACCACACCAACACCCACACCCACATCTACACCCACATCCAGACCCACACCCACATCTACACCACCACCCACACCCACACCCACACCCACATCCACATCTACACCCACA